GGAAGGGAAATCCTGAGCCCTGTAGTAAACACTGGCTGGCTGTGATGTGGGAGACTTTAAATGAGATCGTGAAAGATCAGAAACGAAGATCTTGGGTTTAAAGCCTGAAAGCAACAACAACCAAAAAAAAAAAAAAAAAAAGCTATCTTTAAACTGTAAAGGCAGCAGTGTTCCATGTAGATGTTGGGAGAGCAACCTGGGTGGGTCTGATTCTATTCTGCAAAGGTAGCCTTGTCAGAACGAGTTTCCTGCTGCCAGCTGCATTACCGGAGCAGCTGGGTTTGAGAATCTAGGTGTGCTATTTAAAACCACGTGGTAGGGATTTGACTGCTGTCTGCCAAATCTTGTCTTCTGAGTAAGTGTGTCGATTTCAGCAGCAGCAGTTTGCAGAGAAGGCAGTGGCTGTAAGAACAGAGGAAGTCCCGCCTCGCTGGCTCAAGCCCTGAAACCCTCACTGCAGACACACAGAGAACAGAAAATAGAAGACACGCAAATACCCAGGCTGTGCTTCAGAAAAATCAGTACCTAGATACCTGGGGAGAAAAAGGTACTACTTGTCTTAGGAGGGGGAAGCCTGAGACAATGACCTTCCTTTTAACCAGTTGGAAATTATATCCCTTAAAAAATGTGCATAAATTCTTTTGGACTTTCAGCAGTGTTATGATGGCAAAATGAAAAGCATCTCCTTTGAGGGGAAACTGAGGAATGTCATTATCAAGAATTTCGGGAAAGGGCATTGGAGTATTTGTCAGAAAGCTTAATAATTCGGTTGGGCTCAGAGTGTATCAGCTACCTCTTCTCTGCAAAAGAGCAGAGAACGGAAGCTTCTCTCAATCAGGAAAGAAGATCTGGGTGGGCGAGTGCTTCTCCTGATAGGGACGAGAGTTTAGGGACAGGAAGTGGTGGAAAGATGGGGTTGGTCATTGGAGGGAGCTGGCATGAGGCTTTCTATCTTACAGGGATGAAGTCACAGGCTTTCAGGGCATGGGGCACCAGATGAGGCTGGGGGTGAAAGGCTATTAAGCAAGGGATCTTCTAGAAGTCTCCAGGCCAGGAGAAGGGCTGATCACAAGGGTGGTCTGAACAGGACCTTCTGAAGCCTGGGGGAGTCTTTCCTGTCAGGGGAGGGGAAGTGTTACACAGGCCAAGAAGCACCAGAAAGGCCAGTGTGAGGTCAGAGGAAACCACTTAACCAAGGGGCCCTTACTTGGAGTCAACACTTGAGAATTTTACCAGACCTTGAGGCCAAACCAAGAGCTTCCAGATTAGGCTATAAATCTGGGGACTTCCACCAGTCTAAAATACAATCCATAGGGGGGTGAAGGGAGGAAGAAAGAATAGGGGGTGATGTTATGGAAAGAGCTGAGGATCTGCGGCCAGACTTATTGCGTGACCTTGGGCAAGTTACTTAACCTCTCTTGGGCCTCAGGCCCTTCATCTGTGAAATCAGCATGAGAATATCTACTTTGAGAGGCTGAAGTGAGAAATATCTAATTAGTAGCAGCGCAGGACCTGGAAACTGTAGGTGCTCAGTAACTGTTAGCCTCCTTCCCCTTCCACAGGGTGTGCTGGCAAGTCAATCACTCTCTGTCTAGAGTTGCTCTGTCCCATACAGTGACCAGTAATGGCCACATGTGGCTCTCAAGCACTTTCAACCTGGCTAGTCTGGATTGAGAGCACACACTCGATTTCTAAAACTTTGGGGGCAATAAAACTCCCCTCCCTACCCCAAACTTAAAGGTCTTATTAACAATTTTATAGTGATCACACATTAAAATAATACTCTTTTGTATATATTGGATTAGATAAAATATATTATTAAAATTAATTCCACCTGTTTCTTCATACTTGATTTAATGCAGCCACTGGAAAATTTGAAATGACCATGTGGGTCACACTTTATTCCAGTTGGACAGTGCTAATCTAGCCACTAGATGTAGCTAGGGTTGGGAAGCTGTTTTCAGAGAAATTTATTCGTTTCTATACCTTGGGTTTATGCTTTGGTTTGTTGTCCCAAGTTTCCCCATGAAACAACCTTTTTGAAAAACTGTCATCCAAGGCTCAACCAAGATGGGTGGGAGGTGTCCGTGCGCCCCTAGTGGTTAAGTGTGGTGGTGGCCACAATACAGGAAAAAGGAGGCAGGGCAGGTCTGAGATACCAGGTGGGACAGGCAGGGCCTCTGAGGATGGACCATTCCTTCTTCGCCTGGAGCTTCCCTCCAGATCCCTCTACTGTTCTTTATTTCAGAAGACAACCCCATTCTCTCTTATTTCAGACGGCTCCCATCTTATATATGAACTTGGCAGGAAGCAGGCTCCCACTGGGCAGTAACAAACACAGGTGCAAGAGAAAATGCCACTTCAAAGCCACCTTCAGAAAACCGCAGTTTCCAGAGAAATGAACAGCAGACATTCACAGATATGAGAATGTTCTTTTTTTCTCTCTCCCAAGGAGTGTGGTTGGTTTTGTTTTTTAAACTGTACATTTTACTGTACATTTCTTTTTTAGCAAAGAAAGTTGGCATTTATATTCTGACCACATGGATGCTGCTTTCCAAAACTCCGAGTCAGAAACATGACAAACACAAGTGCAAGTACATATCATGTCATGACAGAGCTCGGGGCCACTGACTGAAATATATGGTTGGTTCCTCCCCTTCCGGTGTCCACCATTACCTTCTGGGTGTCCAAACCCAAAAGCAAAAAAAGAAAGGTGGTATTCCAGGTCACTTCCTCAATGGCTACATTTAGAAATACTGAACAAGAAAAGTTCAGGGAGGAAAAGGAGAGAAGAGAAACTTGGTCAGGGAAAGAGGGAGGGAGGGAGAGAGTTCTGTTCAAGTCACCCAATTCCATGGTTGCCACCGTGACTGGGAAGGCCTACACTTTGGCCCCAGGACTGGCCTAGAAAATTAACGTGTCTCAGGAAGAGACTGTCCTGGGCTACTAATGACCATCAGGACCAGAAGGGGACTGGGGAAGACGGAGAGTCAACAGAAAGAACAAGAATGAAGACAGGAGAGTGGAGGGAAGGTGAGAGAAGGCAGGAGGGGTAGAAGGGAGAAGGACAAAGACAAGGGATTTGGAGGCTTCTGGCCTCAAGCCAGAAGGCAATCTGCATAGACAGTTCCCCACCAGTTTCTTGTGTGTTCCAAGTGGGGCTGGATGCTGCCAGCTCAGTGCCAGGTCTGAGCCCATCAGAACCCTTCAGCAGAAGTAGACTCACCTAGACATTGTATGCAGTGTGGTTGGCAAGTGGAAGGAGGGAGAAGAACAGGAGGGAAGCTAGATCAATGGCAGAGACTCAGAAGTGCAAAGAATGGTTGGGGAGACCGAGAGAGAGGTAGTATGTTGGCAGGGAGGAGAAATCTGGAAGAGATGGAGACCAGAAGAGACAGAGATGCAGGGGAAAGTCCTCCAGATGTTTCTAGAATTGTTTCTCCCTGGCTACATGTCCTCTGCCCCTCTTGACATGGTCTGGGGTATGGGGGTTCATCCTGTGGTAGAAAGGAACCTAGGTGCACCTGCCCATCACCCTCTGTCATTTCCATGGATGGATGGATCTTCCTCAAAGCTGGCATCCAGGAAAGTCGTCCCCTATGTCCCACCCTGGGCCACCTTCCTCAGGAACAAACAAGGGATGGACTTTAGACACAGAAATGCCTGAGCCGGGGTGAAGACAGCATAATGAATTCCAAAAAGCATCCTAGGAGGTGGCCTTGGCACCTGCACTGACTTAGTCACTAGTTCACTGTGTGACCTTGGTCAAGTCCTGTATACTCTGAGGTGGGTGGGGGAGGGAGAGAGGGTTAAGGATGAGATGATTACAAACACCTCTTCAAACTTCAAAACTCTACCATTCTAAACAGATTCCGATTTCCCCCTCCCAAACCTCTAGAATTCTCCCTCTGTGTCAAGTAGGAAAAATAGGGATGCTCTACCAGCTTGTGCGGCTCGTGCTGCTGGTCTGGAAGCCATTACATCTAGAATCATGGAAGATTTCATTAGCCCTTTGAACTTGAGGGGCATCAAAGACTGGGTACAATCCAGTAGTTTGGGAGTTAAGAGACTGAGATCCAAAAAGAAAAGGGTCTTGCCCAAGGTGTTCAGCTGGTTACTCAGTGGTGGCTCTGGAACCTAAACTGAGAGCTTTGGACTCCAAATCCAGTGCTCCTTTTGCCACTCCACTCTGCTTTCCTCAAGAGAAGCCCTCTTGGCCCACCATAAGCTCATGGGGAATTTTGGTCCCAGCTTCCCCCCAAAAGAGGTAAAAATCTTACAGCAACTCCAGAAGTTTATGTCCTTTATACCCTTATGGCTCATAAAACCCTTCTCTCTTTCTCACACGTAAGAAATTCTGGAAGTTACCCTTCTGGCTTAGCCTGCTGTCATGGGTGTGGGTCATGATAACTGAGCGGAGGGAGCTGGATCAAATATGGGGGTAGTTGTCCATCTCCCCCAAGCATGCGGACAGTTGGGAATAAGGAGTCTGGGCAGAAGATGCCACAGTCTTCCCTCCAAACAAATGTGGAGTCAGACCCTTTCCCTTCTCTTGTCAAAAGACAAAAATCTCCACTACCAGGTCTGCTGGGAATGCACCCTCACATGAAGAGTAAATTCTCCATGATCTGTGTGAATGAAGAGGAGGAGTCTGGGAAGTGGGAAAAATAAATTAAGAAATAAAAACCATAAGAAATCCAAAGCCGCTTGCTTACACACTACATTCATGATCAGAAAGGAGGGAGTCTGCCTTTCCAAACACTCAGGGCTCAGTCCGACATTTTAGCGATCGAATCTGCTTTCCCTGAGCACACCCCAGCTGGGTGGTGGGGGACAGGCTTAGAAGGTGGTGTGGGTTGGTGGGGGGGGGGCGTTGACAGGGAGATGAAACTGTCCCTAGATGTAAACATCACCATGGAAACTCCACAAAGACTTGCCAGTACAGATTCTTTCCCCTTCATCCACTCTGCAAGGGTGAGCAGGAGGAGGCCCCCCCAGGCCTACACCGTGCTCTCCATCACCCACTCGGAGCTGCCAAAAGTCCCCCGGGCCCCCACCAAGTCACTCTCCTCAAAGGGCAAGAGCATGCCATTGACAGAGAGGCTGCGCTTTGTCCAGATGTTCGAGACCCTCCGAGGCGGGCTGTAGCCACCGGGGGCGACCCCGCCAGCTGCCGCAGCTGCAGCAGCAAAGTCCCCCATGTCGAAGGAATGGCTGCGCTTGGCCTTGCCCTCCAGGGGCAAGGGGAGCAGGCTCCTGGCCCGGGCTGCAGGAGGCCCCAGCAGTGGCTCTCGGTCCGAGTGGTGGCCCCTGGCCGATGTCCCAGACCCTCTCCCGCCTGGAGTCCTGGAGTCCAGCAGCTCCTCCTTTCTCTGACTTTTGAGGTCCAGGGAGGCAAAGGCCCCCATCAGGCGGTCAAGGTTAGGCTTGGGGCGGGGGGCAGGGGGTGGGAGTCTCCAGGGGCCCCGTCCCAGCCCTGCGGCTTCCCCACTGCCCAGGGAGCTGGAGGAAGAGGAGTCGCTGCCCCGGGCCAGGCTGGCACTGAACTGCACAAGTTCATTGCGTACCACCACCTTGGGTGGACCCTGCGTGGGGGCCCCGCCGGGCACGCCAGCCAGAGCAGGTGGTGGGGCTCCGTTGGTTTGTGAGTGCACATTGCTGACAGCAGCAGCTGCCAGCTTGCCCGGGGCCTCCTGGTTGCAGACCTTGTACCGCACCATGAGGATGACGATGAAGACCAGTAGTGTAGCCACGATGATGCCACCGATGACCAGGATCATTGTGCCGCCCAGGATCTGGCTGTGCACCGACTGGCACTGTGGGTAGTCAGCCTTGGTGAAGAACTGGGCGCAGCCCACGATGTTGGTGGCCGTGAGGGTCGTGGCTGTGTCGTCCCACATGGCCAGCACACAGAGGTCGTAGCCGGTTCCTGACACCAGGTTGTTGACCAGGAAGGCCTTGTTGGAGGCTGGGATCATCCTGGAGTGGGTGGACGCAGAGGGGAAAGACAGGGAGGATCGGCAGAGACAGAAAGAGAGAGAGTGACAGAGACAGGAGGGGTTGGCGGTAGGGAGACAGACACAGGGACACAGAGGGAAAGAGGTGGAGCAGGAGAGAGAGGGATGAGCCAAGAGATAGGAAAAGGAGCCAAGGAGATGGGGGGTGGGGAGATAGGAGGAGGAAGCAAAGGCACGAAGGGAAGGCAGGGGACAGGAACAGGGCATGGGAGGAGGTGAAGTTGTCCCAGAGGGAGGAGGAGAGGGGCCCAGGTAAGAAGTCAGAGAAGGACAGGTGGGGGTAAAAAGGGCAGCAAGAGAGAGATTCATGGATGGAAATGTCAGTGAGAGTTGCACACACAGACCAGGTGCCCAAGGGCCCAGAAGAGGCAGAAACACGGACGCCAGGAGTGTGAAGACGAAGGGAACGAGGAGGGGGGGAGTGGAGAGCAGGTAAGAAGAAGGAGGTACAGAGAAGAAGGGAGGGCCTCAGGCAGAGATGGGGGAGGGGCCACAGGAGGGGCAGAGGGAGAGACACGGAGAGGCAGAGAGGTTAAAGCCTGCAGAAGCCCAGTCTGAACAAAGGGACCCCCAGCGTGAGTCCCGCACTATCTCCCTCAGACTCTGGGAGGTGGTGGGAGCCAGGCCTGCCAGGGCCCCCACTCCAGATACCCCAGATCCCGTCTACCCCTGTTGTGTCCTGGAGATTTGTGGATATCTCTTGAGCCCTTCTCTGGGCCTGTGCCCTGGGGAGTCACAGTCAAGGCCCTGCTCTCGGAGCCCACACCATCCTCCTCTGCAAATGGCTTTCTCAGGCCTGGCAGGAGAACGCTTGCTGCTGCAAACCGGGTTGGCCGGGTCTAAGCAGAAGACAGCTGGAGGCAAGGAGGGGAAGGGGACAGTGCAATTTGAAGACAGGAAGGCGATTCTGCTTCCCAGAGGGAAGTGATGATTCTTCCCTCTCGGGCATAGCAGGCCAACCTCATCTAGAGAGGCCTGGGGAAAGAGAGTCTCTGCCTGGGGCGGCATCAACTGGTCCCTACCTACACCTTGGGGGAAGGTATGGTGGGGCCTCAGTCTCCCAAACTGGAGACTGTCTACTGTCCTGGGCCTCTCTTGCTGGGACCCTCAGGAAGCCTGGGCACAATCCCTGATCTCTAAGGCCCTGTCCACGTATTCTGCCTGTGATATCTCCAGAGACAATGCCCATTTCACCCCATAAACACTACTGCAGAGATAGTCACCATGTCCTAAAGGGACCATGTCCCTCTGCGCCCTTCCCACTGCCCCTCCATTCTCCAGTCCCCTACTACTCAAGGGCTCTATCGCCACCCATCAACCCCGAAAACCCAGAGCCAAGCAGCTTAATTGAGATCTCAAATATGAAATACCGGAGCCTGGAAACTTCCACCCAGGAACTCCTTGCTCAGGATTGAGCTGACAGGCATCTATTGACATCCCGTCAGTGGGCAGCACGAGAGGCCGTTGCCTCCCTCCTCACATTCCCAGCCCGCTCTGCAGATGGGGAAGCCACAGTGGAGGAAACTTTGGTCCTCAGCCCCACCCCCAGCTCATAGCTACAAGAGGTGGAGAGGTGGGGTGGTGGGGCTGGGGCTGGTACAGGGTGGGGAGGGGTCTGCAAGGGCCTGTGGGCCAGCCCCTTAGGTCTATCTCTTTTGCCCGGGCATTGTGGCAATCCTGAGAAGATAGGGACTTGTCCTCTCATGGCACAAAAGAGGAATGGCCAAGATTCAGAGAGGTTAAGTGATTTGCCTGAAGTCACACAGCTGGGACTGCTAAGAGGGGCCACTGGCCTTTAACACTGGTTTCCAGGCCCATAGTCTGGGTTTGCTCCTTACATGTGACAAACACAGGGCATGTTTCCTCATCTCACTGAAAAGCTTGTCCCAGCCTGTGGCCTTTCACCTGACCATTCCCTGGAGCAGGGCTCAGAGACCGCTGCAGCTCACATGCCTCCACCAGCAGGCTCTCTGGTCTGCAGGGCCATCCACTGGGCAGAGCCCACTTCATTCCCCTCGGAGATGATGACAGAAGTCGGAGTGGCAGGAGCTATCTGCACCCAGAACAGTGACAACAGGAGGAGCAAACCCTGAGGGTCACTTGTGTGCCAGGCCCCCTTTTCAGGGCCCTGTGGCTGTCAGCTCACTTGGTCCCACAGCGACTCTCTGAGGCAGCCCCTACCATGATCCTTACTCTGCAGGCGGGGAGGCAGAGGTAAGAAACAAACATACACAGCTGGGATTTGAGCCCAAACCTCTGCCTCCCAGCACCGCACTGGGGCATGCGCAATGTCAGAGCACACCCATTTGAGGAGGGGATGGGCCAGCTTGCTTATGGAACACCTGTGATGTGATGGGGTTTTCACATCTCGTGTTGCGCTTAACCTTTGCACCAATCCTAGGTCACGGGGAATGGATCATGAGCCCGGAACTCCTATCTGTGTTTAGCTGTCTTCTCCTGGAAACCACACACCACCACTACGAGTAATTAAAAATATAGAAGAGGGGTGAAGGTCAAGTGAGGGCTTCCTGTGGGCCAGGCACCCTTCCGAGGTCTTTAAGGGGATTAATACTCCCAATAGCAAAGGTCATCTTCATTTTACAGACAAGAACCAGAGGCACAGAAAGGGTAAGCTGACTGCCCAGGAGCACCCAGCTAGTACTTGGCAGAGCTGGGATCTGAACTGGGCAGTCGGGGCCTCTCAGACACTGTCCTGTTTTCCTGAGGCCTTAGGGTGACTCTGTGTGGGACACTGCCTGGCCTCTCTCCCCCTTGCTTCCCAAGTAAGGGCAGCTAGAGTAGGATCAAGCCACAGTGGGTGGGCTGCCGACGGGGATGCAATAGGGCACGCTGATCCTTGGCGCCAGGGTGAGAGGAGCCGGCTGGGAAAATCTTCCCACTGTAACCGGTATGTCAGAAACAAGGCCAGAGGAAAGGGCCCGCTTCCCAGGATTAAGAGCAGGGAAGCAGCTCCGGATCCTGGGTGTGTATGTGTGTATATGTGTGTACTTACGTGAGCCAGAGCCAGCTGGCTCCAAACAGCCTTGGCAGTCAAGTCCACCTTTGGCAAAAACAGTAACAACCGGCGTTCACCAAGCCCTCATCTTGTGCCTGGAAGTTTGTGTACATTATCTCACTTAACCCCCCTGGCCCCCCTGAAGGAAGTCATTAACATCATTCCCATTTAGGGAAGGAGGAAGCTAAGCAGTTTCACTTTCCCTCGGGAGGGGGGAGCCGAGACCAGATCTGGATCATCAGAGCCCACACTTCCAGCCATAAGCAAGGCTGCTTCCTGCCCCAGGCAACCAAAAAGACAAACTGCATGAGAAAGTAGTGTGAAATGGACTCTATCCAAAGTCAGCTCGGCCCATGTGGCCCTGTCTACCCATTCATGGTCCCCAGAACAACCATTGACCCTCCAGGCTAGATCTGGAGAGCCCAGGTCCCCTCTTCACTCCTATCCACGTCCCACGTTCTACCTTCTGGACTTCTTGCTGCCTTCCATCTCCATACTCACAATTTTGCTTAGGCCTTGCTGTTTTTGGTGTGGACAAGTGCAGCGGCCTCCAAACAGGCCTCCCTGTCTCTTCCTATGCTCCCTTCACGTCCATGTTCAGCACAACCAACCCCAGAGCACACCATCTGAAACAACTCTGGCACACGGAAACACTCAAGGGCTGACTGTGACCTACAGGAGACAGTCCAAGCTCCCAAACCAGGTTGCCCATCGCATTCTTGCCCCTGCACCCATGCACCCTCTGACTTTGCCCACAGTCTTTAGGAAAACACTTTGGAAACAGCTGGGCCCATTTGTGGTGGAAGGTGTACTGACAGAGGGGTAATTAAAGCCTTTGCTTACAAAGGACCTTGTTACAGAGGGGTAGATTCAGGGATGGGGGACCATGAGGGAACACGCCATGACCCAGGGTTGTAGCAGCCAAGCTGTTCCCCAGTCTAGCCCTGAGCATACCAGGGGAGGTCAGCAGACCCTGACCTCTCTCTCTTCCCTCTTCCCAATCCTCTGCTGTTGCTCCCCATGGCTGAACCCCACTGAAAGCTGGGATTCCTGGGGGCACACTGGTCAGGCTTCCAGGGCACACAGCAGCACAGAGGAGTGGATCTGGAGAGGCAACGGGCCATATCTGACACAAGCATCGGTCACAGCCCTCCTCGTGAAAGACATCCTGAAATCCTGATAGGTTTCTTCCTATCACATACAACGGCGACATCTCCGCTAGCAGAAAACATGAGTTGCTATTTTAAGTTCAGTTGCTCCAACATGTTAAATTTAATTAAGCTCACGTGCTCTAAAGCACAATTTAAAGCTGCAACCCCAAGCACTTACCCAGGAAAAACAAAACAAACGTAAGTGGCTGCTTCTGAGTTGTTTTTCTTTTTCCCCTATTAATATTCATTGGGCATTCGTTCGTTCAGCGTAATCCTATCAGACAAATCTACAGCTGATGTCTACAGCTACTGCTGGAGGTTTGGGAAGGAACCAGGAGCATACTGGTTACCTATTTGCTCTCTTGTCTGCCTTCCCTTTCACCTGTTCCCTCTCCGTGTGCCAAGGAACTACATTTCCCAGTCTCCCTTGCCTGTTCCCAGGCTCCTTAGCCTCGGGCTTCCAGGAAGAGTTGGCCAATGGGGGCCTGGAAGAAGGCTGGAGGGCCAGAGGTGGGGCAGAAGCCAGCTATTTCTTCCTCTTTATCTGCTTCTTGTGGTGGCTTTTTATCAGCTCCCGGCGCCCCTCTGTGATCTCAGCTCCTGGGATTCTGGTTCCTGCCAAATGGCTTTGGATCTTTGGCTCTGGTCCTGTCATCTCCTGTGCGCCCCACCTCTGGGTGGGGTGGGGTGGGGGGCTATGGCTTCCCGCTGTTGCTCATCTCTGCGATGCCTCCCCACCCCTGGTTGAAGCCCCAGCGATTCCATCCCCTGTGTAGCCCAACCCCTGCACTGAAT